TGGCCAAAGCAAATTATCTCATGATGATCAGCATATTCAAAACTACAGGTTAGAGAAAAAATTTCAGATACGAAACTTTCGTTTCAGTAGCACTTTAACCCCCGTTTTGAAATAAGGTTAAGCACAAAGCCTGTGATATGAAAATATTTGATCAATACGATACTAACAAAACTCATTTTCACAAGAAACGTTTGCACTTGACTACACAACAAGTTTGTGTTTAAGGGTCGGAGATGACCGACACATGTTTATATCACCCCTTTCCTTACTCCTCATATGCTAAATGTACGTCTTCCCTACAGTTTCTTCATAAACAAGTTTCCTTTGCCACAATGTTTTCCTCGTGACAAGGCTCAGAGTTTCTTATTAGTTGAACAATTTCTCTTTGCTTAGAATACGACTTATTTTTTAATAGTGGAACCAAGAACATCGAACATGTGGAGAGTATGGTGACCACACCTGCGCTGAAGAATGCTACGTCATAACTAAGGGTTACGTCATATATCCAGCCCGCGATCGATGGACCCGCGGTCATTGGAATGGAGCGAAAGCAGAACAGCGTTCCAAGAGCGAAGGCTTGATTGCTCTCTTCTACCAGGTCTTGCACGATTAACGGTAATGAAATCACAAAACATCCTTCCAGAAATCCATAAAGAAATGCATAAGTTGCGTACCATTCATAATTAGTCGCTATGGGAACGAGTGTTGTGGAAACACTTATAAGTAGAAGGGTAATTTGCAGTGCAGTCAAACAGTTTACACGGCGCATGTCCATTAGCTTTCCGAAAAAGGGCCGCACTGTCACTGATCCAAACGCTGCAAAATTTATTAGAAGAGCTGCTTTAAAAGATTCGACGCCAGAGTCTAAAGCAAGTCTAACCTATACATGGAGGAAAAAAAGGAGAAATTATGTTAGAATAAAAAAATGTTACCTCCCTCCTCTGTATTGTCTATGAGCTGTATTGACCTTGCAGGTAATGTGGTGCGCACAATATGTTGTCCCACAACATTATTGACTCCAATGATTTAGACTACAAGCAGTCCCTTCTTTTCGGTTACGTAAATCAGTGAAAATAAATTGATGTTTGCACGCCGCGGGGAACTCTTGGAGTGACGTGGATGCGCCACAGGAGCTCCACGAGTGGGGCGCTCGAAAAGTACTGCCTAAGTACTACACCAAAAGGGTTAACTCAGCGCGCAAACAGCAATTTTTTCTCTCTTATTTTTTTTTTAATAGCGCGATGGACTTCGCCGTAAAGGAGGGACTACCTGTAGGCTGGTTATGTGTTACACAGAGAGTCCCAGATAGGAAACTCTCTTCCTTGGACAACTGGGTAACAAGGCGCAGTTTCCACAGTCTTGAGTCAAACAGGGAATACAATTTTTCAACCAAGCGTCTTGAACAGCACAGGTATATTTCTATATAGAAGTTTCCATTAAGGTGCAAACAGAAGACAAAATACAAACACAACAAAACAACAAAATAGAGAGCATCGATAAAGCCAACTTATAGATCAACTTACCAAATGCACGTATGGTACCAAGTAGACAGGCATAAAGAGGCATAAGGCTCCCACAAAAGTCATGTAACCTTTGTTAGTGAATATTGTCCAATCAAACCCACCTTTCCCGTTATTTTTAATGCGTAGTTGGTCTGATTTAGAAGGAGGAGGAGCAAGTCTGATCATTAATCCACAAAACACAACTACAAGCTGCAACCCAGCTAATATTTGAAACGTTCTGGCCAACCCAACACTGGGCAGCAGATAAGCAACAAATGGAGTCAGAGCTAAAGTACCAACTGGTGCTCCAAAAAATACGATCCCATTGGCTAAGCCAATTCGCGCGTGAAAAAAGTGTGGAAGTAGAAACAAAGCACTAAGGTAAGAAAGACACGAGCCAAATCCCCAGACTAAGCCGTAAGTCAAATAAAGTACGAAGATGTTCGGCGCAAACGAAGAGGTAAACAATCCAACTGCGCATGTCACTCCACCAAGCATGATAATGTTAGCAAATCCAAACCGGTTACAAAGGATGGCGGGAATCATTCCAAATCCATCTGATACGCCCATTGCGAGAGCGGTTACCCCGGCTGAGAGAATATGTACACATAGTCACTGACAATGCATTCATGAATGAATAAGCTGGTTTTTTTTTGTAAAAAGAAAATTAAATAAATAGATAAAATAAAACACTTAAGAGAAACGTACAAGCCTGAGATTTACGTTCCGACTGACTTCGCCGAAAGGGGGGGGGGGGGGAAGGGGGACAACATTTAATTATGGTCATATCAGATGACTGTGTGATAGTGTCAAACGATTGGTGCTGTACGTCTACAGTACTTTCAGCGCATCGACAATGTTGATATCGTTCGTTCGTCCTCTACTCAACCCCGTGAGCTCTTAAATCATATTTCACGAGCAGACTTTGCCCGGACACTTTTTTTATTACACCGTTACTTGCCTGACATTGGAGAAAAATACGAAAGAAGAGGAACTTATAGTGCGAGCATCAGATATCCTCCTATCGCGTGACCAACACTATATGACACCGTTGTCGTGTTAGCGTACTCAATTGTCATCGCGTAGTTGCAATTTTTCGACGTCCTTGTTGGCACCCAAATTGCTATTATAGTGAAATCGTAATTTGTCACTTCATTCGGCTTTCACTCGGCATGTTCTCATAGTTTTAAAGGTCTTGACTTCAGAGTTCTTAGTTTTCAATGTTTTCTGACTGAAGTCGAAGGTATTAGTCTTCGACATATCCGTTTTTTTAAGTGTTCAGCGCGCCTTCGAAGATTAGATATTTAATCACTATCCCTTCTTACGTTAACGATCTTATGCAATAGAAATATCTTGAGAAGAATATGCTGCCTTTCTATAACATCAAGAAATGGTTAGATATTCTAGTCTTCTCGGATAGGGACGAATAAATGGAGGTCCCGTCTCCTGCAGGGTTGGGGTAGGAGACGTTAATTTCCCATGCACGAGATTACTGTGTGATGATGTCCTCCCCTGGGGTGGGAGGGATGGGTTGCTGTCTTGCGTTTCATACATGAGCCTCTGGCTCGACAATCTGGGTAACCATGCCTCACGTAAAGAAAATAAACGTGATTATCTTATCTTATCTCTGCGAAAATGTTCAGGTGTCGCTTTAAATTTGTTTCTTAGACAGTCGTATACAAACACACATAGCCCATGCTTCATAAACATGTAGATGTATACCATATTGCTCTTATTGAGTGGTAGAGCTAGAGAGATATATCTATAAGTACAACAAGGATTTATTTTTGAAAAAAAGCTTTCTTCACTTTATTCGTTAGTCAGTCTGTCTCCGCTGTGGTTTTTGCGATGAGTCATGGTGTGTACACTTGAAGCGACTGAGAGAAGCTACAATTCTCTATTCTAAATGCGTGACATTGTACGCCTTCGAAATAAAATCCTTTTTCTTCAGGCAATTCCTTGCATTTATACTATTTAACAGTCATTCGCCTCAGGCCTCAGGCTTCGTTTCGAGGATTATTCAACAATATTCACTTCGCTCTCGGCGAATGATTATCATATAACAACGTAGTACAACTCGTATCTCACGGATTCTGTGATACAGTCATGATATAAATAATCTCGCTCACTCATTGAAAACTGAAATTCTCGGGTTGTTAGTGGTAGGGTCAAGTTAAGCTTGCCGCTTTTTCATCTCTTTTGAAACACTCACACGTAGTGCATCCCCAGTCTAAAATAAATAACAGTTTTCAACTCGGTAGACTGTCGAAAAATTAAACGGAAAAAGATTTCTTACCAGTTTGACCCCGGCTAGTGTTGTTGTATTCATCCAACAGTGCCATAAATATCAATCCAGAAAGGTTCCCCTGAGCACAAACGATTAATTGGATAAAAAATCCTGCAATGCATACTACCCACGAATAGCCACCGTCAAAACCACTTTTTTCTGTGGCGCCTAGAGCAAAATTTGGGCTTCGAGTGTTGTGTTCGTTTCCTTCACTATCTCCATGTGCGGAAGTCATGTCTCGTGGTCAGCTACCCCGCAGATGGCCGAGAAAAATCTGGCTACACTTATGAAATTTTTCTAAAAATCCAAGCACTGAACCTTTAACCGTCGATGTTTTTCCTCCAATCACTAAATTACAAAAATTAACTCCGGTTTCGCCGAACACGCGCGCAAATAAATATTCAAGTTTCATTTGGTTGACTTAATTCAATACCGGTAGCTNAGCGGACACGCAAGCTCTTTCTACCTGCACTTTTTTCTGTCGGTGTTGAGGACTTTCATTTCGACGAAACATCGCGGGAATCCGGACATTGAGAAGCGGCCTTATTCAACAGTTCATAAAACTGGCAAAAAGTGTTAGCTTTTCTTGCACAAGAAAGGCATATAATTTGAGATATGTGCGACTTGCCCCTTGACCTCGTGTGACTCTTGCCCCTTGACCTCGGGATTGAATTGGATCATTAACCATGGACGGTATTTCCTGAAATCCATGGCAATGAAAGAAGTCGATTGTTTACCCATATCGGTTCTTACTTTGGACTTGTAAAGACTTCTTTTAACTGTACATCTGATATGGACTCAGTATGCATATTAAAAAAACTGAAACTTGCTGTCAAATACTTCGGAAAGTCTTTCCAATTTTGCAATAAGAGTCGTAAGTTTCTGTTTTCACGAGTCTTTTAAGAAACGACTGCAGATTCTCATAGAATACTTCTATGGCAAAAGAGTTCAGTAACGAAAAATCAAGTACTTGGAAACATCCTGGTAGTCTTCTATTCTTCCCCTGACCAGTTTAAGTCAAAGCTTTTCAAAAACTGCAAAAAACACACCACTAGGGCCGATGTAGACTTGCTCACGAGTCGCGCTTTTAAGCGCGTGAAGCGCGAGCCGAGCCAAGCGAGCGATAGCGAGCGAAAGCGCGAGTCCTACAACACCAGAACAGAAAACCAAGCGAACGACTTTGAGAAAGTCTAGGGCCGATGATAAGTAGGTCGACGTAAAGGCATGACGCACAAAATAAACACCATAATCGGGAAATATTCGAAAATAAATGGGGCCGATTATTTACACGAGTTCTAAACCGCGGTTTAACGCGAGCAGTGGGCCTCAGGGATTCTCGTTAAGAGGGCTGATCTAATAAAATAAATGTCTTTTCTCTATTAGCTTTAGGCCCTTTAGACACTGTTCACAAAAATAAATACTTAGTTAAAAGATTCGGCTTAATTGAAGACGAGTTAAAACGCAGCTAAACTTTGTTTAGCCGCGTCCGTTGAGCCGTCACTCAACACTCTTCTCTCGCACGCTTCTTTCCTCTGTGTACGTGTTTGCGGTGCGTGTGTGTGTGTGTGTGTGTGTGTATGTGTGTGTGTGTGTGTGTGTGTGTGTGCGCGCTCGCGTGGGTGTGTGTGTGTGTGTCTGTGGGGTGTGTTTGTGTGTGTATGTGTGTGTGTGTGTGTGTGTGTGTGTGCGCGCTCGCGTGGGTGTGTGTGTGTGTGTCTGTGGGGTGTGTTTGTGTGTGTATGGGGGGGGATCTCAATAAAGCTACTGGTAGCAGTAACAAGAATTTGGGTGGGGGTACTAAACAAAGTTTTATTTGAAGGCACTCTGATATGGCGTCCAAGCCACCTTTGTGCAATCAACTCGAGAAATCCTTACAATAGTGTATCCCTCTCTATCAGCTGAGTTCCCTAATATGGCTGTTAATCCTTTCACTCCCAGGATCTCATTCCAAATTCTCCTTCCGGCTTACCATACAATTGTTGTGATGTTAGTTCTGGGAACTTGGTTTTGGATCAACCAATAATCTCCCAGCTGATATTTTTCTTTATTTCTCTAGTGTATTGGGCTACATAACGTTACCACAGTGACTGAACGGACACTTCCTATAGTTACTCAATTGTGTGGTGAATCTTCTTTCCTGAGTTAAAGTAAAATAACTAATAACGATTATGGTAAGGTATATATACGATCTTGATCATTGTATAAAGGACAGTCAAGTTAAGAGCAATGAGAGGAGTCACTTGACCTATGATTACTCCTCCATTTTCATCACTTGTCCTCTTGCCTTTGTTTTGATATTGTAAGGAGAAATTCTGTCCCAGTCAGTCTTGAGAATTATGACGGTTAGAAGAATTTGGACCTCCCCCTGCAATAAACTGTACACCTTAGTCTTGAAACCAGAGTATTGTTACACCCCTTATATAGAACTTCTGCTACTAGCCTGATATAATAACAATAAAAGCTGATTAGCTTCCAACATTCTTTATTTAAGTTCTAAACTGAAAACCTTTCAATTCTATTATCTTGTTTAGTGGGGTATGGTTCTGGTATATTGCTTCCAGTGAGAGCCTTGGCCAAGAACTCATCTCCGAAGAAACTACACCAAATTTTTAATAATAGAAAATCATTATTACTAGCTTGTGGGTAGGTTTCAGCAACAAAGTATTTCATGTGACAAAAGGAAAACGATAGTGATTGTCTTTTTCCTTGAATCATGTTGTACAGACTCAAACAGGTTTGAATTTGTATCAGTCTGTGATCAATGATAGCTGTACTTCATGATACTGAAATAAAATTACTGGTAATCAAGACAAATTTCACTACCATTAAAATTATTGCCTAAGGTTGTAGTATACCATAACAAGTTATTAGAAAGGTGACTAGGTTTCCTAACTAACAAGTTAGCTAATCCTGCTGTAGACAACGCTTGACATAAATAATCTAAAACGTTACTACCAATCTCACTATGGCTACCAGCACTGGATTTCCACAAAAATAGCTTAAGAGCCATTATAACTTTTCCCAAAAAGAGGGCATACATATGATAATGATATTACTCAAGGCAGGGCTCCACACTTATGGTAGCTTGCTAGCCACAGACTAGTAGAAATTCAATTTTGGCTAATAGTTTTTGATTTCCACTGCCAAGTTTGGCTAGTAAACAAACTGAAATTGTTGTAACATCTAAGTTGTCACTACCTACTTGGCTAGTGGGTTGAAAGGTTAGGGTCGAGCCCTGTCAAGGGATGAAAAATAAAAAAATTGAGTTTGAGTTTGTTACCATACATATGTTTTGGGCCAGATCAGAGTCATTTTAGCCAGAGTTGAGAGGCCAGGGTGAAAAGACTGCAGATAGGGCCCAAAACATGTTTATGCCCATGAACATAAACTGTTATTATTATTACTATCACTTTGAAAGGCATTCAAAAAGTAAATGAAAATAACAGACAAAAAATAAGTCTGAAAAATCATACAAGTGTGCTGGTGAGCCAAAATTTGTATTGCAAAAATCTACATTTTAGCCCACAAAATAGGCTACAATGCCCAACAAAGTAATAATAATAATTCTTCTATTTCTCACCAGAAAGTGGTCTTATGCACTCCAATGTCAGTAATGAATCATGTATTTAGTAACCTAATCAAAGGTTAATTAAATGGAGTTGAGCCCTCAATAGAATGGAGTGGAGAAAAGAGGGGGAGGTGATTGACCCCAGGGATCCATATCTTTGATATCTCCCACCGGGGGTGACCCCAAGCAACATACATTATCATACGAAAATAGCTTTTATCAGTATCCAAGGAAATAGATAATGCTCTCTCTAAATATTCATATAAATTGATGAAATATTTGATAAAGGCATCCTAAAAATACAATCTTTTGATCTTGAACTACAGGTAGGTACTTAAGTTATAAGCAGTAATTCTTTTTAGAAACAATATCACCATGCATTACTAACAACTCCAAGTAAATATAACTGACAAGTTAAAACAGCAGTACAATGAGAGAACTCTTTTTAACCCTCTACATCCTAACATCAATCAGCAAATTCTCCTTAAATTTCCTATGGTTCTTACAAGGAGAGTTTATCTAACAATCTCGAGCGTTTTGAGTCTGGGATCATTTCCCATATCCTTGTGACTTTAATGTTTAATTCAGGGTTGATTCTGTTGGGAGAAAGTAGATACTGGTCACTCTTAGCAGTTGAGAGGTTAAGAGATGTGTGAAACACTCTATGTAGACAACTAGTACATTGTAAATTAAGTCAAACCTGTCTACAGATTGAAGGCCATGCTCAAAGGAAAATTGAAAGGAGCCCAGTGCTCTGAAACTATGAAATCAACGGTGCCCAGCATATGCTTTGCATGAAAAAACTAAAATACCTGAGTCACCCAAGAGCAATAGTAAGGCGCCAGGGGCCACTGGGCTCTGCTGGAGCTCAGCCATGAGCTCACATAAATAAGCTATACTGACTACAGTACATAAGAAAAATCTAGAGAAAATTCCCAAAGATTTACATCAAAACCTTGAAGCTCACCTATGGTTATCAACAGAGACCAAAATATCAATTATTGAACCTTCTTTTATAGTAATTCCTCACTTGTACCATCTCCATTATAAGATTAAATTTGATGGATATGTTAACTACATGAACAGAAATACAGTACACACCATCTGTGACTTATTCCCCCTCATTTACTTTAACTTTTCTTCAATTTTCTTCAAAACCCTTTTGCTGCCCAAATCTAAATTCTCCACACTGTTTGTCTTTCATCATTTATAATCTTAGATCTTAGAATCAGACAATATCCTCCTCCTAGCTGATAACTTTTTCACTTCTCATTGCCTTTCTACTTGAAATTGCATAGATTTTGTGAGGAGGAATTCAAGCTTGGTCACTTCTGGGAGTGAAAGGGTTTGTTGTTTGTGTCATTGTTCATTGAGAATGTAAAATCTAGTGAGACTTTCAAAAAAACGTAAAAATATAAGGACACCTGAATGACTCTTGCATGGAGAATTCACTTGCAAACTTTTAGGAACTCCAGTTGTAGAAATAAATCTTCTGCCAAGTTGGAAGGTAGTCCAGCATAGGATTCAGAAAAAGAGATATCCCAGGAACAGTCTCTGTCATAAATTTCAGGAAACCTAGAATCTTGGTCTTTGAGTAGTTATCGTAAAATGGAGATCGTAAAAGATAAAAAAGAAGCAGGAATGTTCTTCTAGACAATTCTGATCTTTCCTCATGATTCAGTTCACTTGAATCACCCATTAGGGCTAATGATGTGACATCAACTCCACAAGAAATCAACCAAGGCTTCCACGAGGTTTGTCCAAACACAAACATACTTGAAACGTGAAGCAGGGGTCTTGAGATGTAAAGGCTCTCTGCTACAATTCTCCTGGAGGAAAGATCGGTTGGTTGAGAGGCCGTCTTGGTTTTAGAGGTTCCCTCTGGAAGTTTCCAGGAACGATTTGGGCCACATGGTGGGGCACTAAGGGACCTTACAACCCTTCCTGATCGAGGCCCTCGCCAAACTGGTCCCGTATAGCCGTTCGTCTGTGATGTTTCCTCATTTGGGACAGCTTCGTCTGAAGTGTTAAGCCTTCCAAAATTGTCTTGATCTTCACGATCCACTTCCTCGGGTTTAACCAGCTTTGATCGATCAAAGGGTGGAATCAGAGGTGTCCGTTGGATTCCTGATTTATACTTGAATAATAAGACGAATCTCAACGCAGCCTTTGCTATTTGCAAAATCACGACAATAATCCATTTCCCTACTTCACCCCACAAACGACTAGCTCCAAGTTCGATAAAAACCTCCAAATATTCGAGGATAGTCAGCCACAACAAGATGCGTTTTTTACTCCATGAGGATGTCACATCGCTTGTTAGACTGCTTCCTCCTTCACGAAATATGCAATCGTTCAGCAGAGTCAAAATTTGCGATGCTGAAAACACAAGCTCGGGCAGTGCCTCGGACGCTCCAAACCGTCCGGGAAGCATATACGACAGCGCCCGCAAAATGGATTCCACCCTCGAAATTGTCTCTGGATTGAGTAGGACAAACTGTTCATACTTATGTCGAATAGCGGTGGCGTGTGCCGTTCCCAAAGCTATCAGTTCCTGCGATTTTTGGAGCAAATGCGTTAGAGAATTTCCTTCCGCCATTTCAGGTTTGATTTAGAGTAGCCGTTTACGCATGTCAGAAATATTCTTTTGCGTGGACCCTGGGTATGAATTTTTGATGAAGGGGGAAGATCAAGGAACGTGACTGTGCGAAGCGGAGTCTATATTAAGAGCTCCGTTTCTGAATGTAAAACTTGGGCGTTAAAATTCTTCCGTGGTATGTCAGTTGACGAAAGACAGTGGTTACGAGGACAGAGCTTCATGCGACGTTCAAATTGGATGTGTCATGCAGGAGTTCTAGGTATTTTTCGTACAAATTATTTTGGACCGGAATGGGACATAAATGTGAAGATAACCACGTTAAGAACCTTAAAGCCACTCTGAGAGCTCTGACTTACGCTATGTCTATTTCACAAAGTATGATGCGAGTTCTCGACGGAAAAGTTGTGTATTTGTTCAAAATTACAGATCAAATGAGCAGTAATTTAAATTTTTGTCTCCGGATTAAAAGTGGTCCAAAACACCTTTACTGACTGGCAGAAAAATTTGCCAATTCAGCCAAATGTCGCGAGGGAATGACAATGGAATTTCTTTCTAAGTATACCGCTGGGATTAATCGCGCTTTCGCTGCTTTTCTTAGACTTTTTGAAGTCCAAGATACTGCTACTGCTCCTGCTCCTGCTCCTGCTCCTGCTCCTGCTCCTGCTCCTGCTCCTGCTCCTGCTCCTGCTCCTGCTCCTGCTCCTGCTCCTGCTCCTGCTCCTGCTGCTGCT